GAGGAAGGTGGGGGGTGACAGGCCCTGGGGATCGGTCTCCAGTGTTCCTCGTGCCGCAGTTCTCCTGGTGTGGCATCTTCCCCGAAACCCTTCCCGCCTGTCTTCCCCACCACAGGCCTGATGTCCTGTTCCTGCATGGCCAGGCGTTCACTTCCAAGACGTGGGAGGCCCTGGGCACACTGGCACTGCTTGCTGGAGAAGGCTACCGTGCGGTTGCAATAGATCTGCCTGGTAGGACCGTGGCACTGCACTTAAGTAGATCCCTCTGGGCAGCTCTAGTCCCTCACTTCAGCTCCTGCTGGGCTCTGGACCTCTTCAGGGAGGACTCTGGACCTCTTCAGGCAGCTGGCAGTGGTCCTGGAGGCAATATGCCTGGGATTTGGCTTTGCCCTGGGGCGTTGACTTCCATAGCCACCCAAACCCTTTGGCTGGGGTTGGCTTGGTCTGGCTGGTATGTGGCTGTACAACTGCTGGGGCTTGGTCAGGTGCCCATTTTTTTCCAGGCCAGCTGATCGTTGGGGAAAGAGACCGTTGCAGACTGTACAATCCCCTCCCTGCCCCATGCCCACCCTGTGCCCTCTGCCCCATGCCAGGCTATGGGGATTCGCCCCCAGCGGAGATGGTGGCCACGGCACAGGGCCGGGTGGCTCTCCTGGACCATGTCCTCCAGGAACTGGGCATGCAGAGGCCTGTTCTCATCAGCCCCTCCATGAGCGGCCGCTTTGCCCTGCCCTTCCTCCTGACACGGAAGGACCAGCTGGCTGGCTTCGTGCCCGTGGCACCCGTGGGCACCAAGGACTACACCGCTGAGCAGTACCGGCAGGTCCAGGTGAGGTGGGTCCTTGGGCTTCTGGGGGGGCCCTGGGTGCTGGAGAGCTTTGTGGGCCAGCTACCTATAGGGTGGTGTGAAGAGTGGCCCTGTTCTAGGGTCAGTGAGGGGGACTTGTTTCACCCCCAGCATCTGTCTTCCCTGAGCTTTGATAGAATTGTAGAATTGTTTTGGTTGGAAGAGACCTTTAAGATCAAGTCCAGCCATTAACCTAGCACCCTGCCAAGTCCACCACTAAACCTTGCCTCTAAGCAACACATCTGGAATCACAGAATCATTACATAAGAGAATGGGCTTTGAAGGGACCTTCAAAAGTCATCTAGTCCAGCTACCCTTGCAGTGCACAGGGACCTTTTTGACTAGATCAGGTTGCTCAGAGCGTGGTCGAGCCTGACCTTGAATGTTTCCAGGGATGGGGCCTCGACCACATCTCTGGGCAACCTGCAGTGATGGATGGAGGTGGGCATAGCCCAGCAGAAGTGTGGTGGCCAATTCCCAGTCTGACAACCTCTCTGTTTTTCTCTCTCCCCTTACCAAGACACCCACTCTGATCCTGTATGGTGAGCGTGACACAAGGCTGGGTCTCCAGGCCCTGCAGAGCCTCCGGCACCTCCCCAGGCACCACGTGGCCATGGTGCCAGATGCTGGCCATGCCTGCTACCTGGACAAGCCGCAGGACTTCCACCGGGCCCTTCTGGGCTTTCTGTACCAGCTGAAGAGTTCTGCTGAGCAGAGGACGGGGACACGGGCATCCTGAGAGACTGGGGGGCACAGGTGGCTGGTGTAAGGGTGCTGTTCTCTTTTGGGGTGACCCCAGGGTGGTGGGAGGGGACAACTGAGACTCCCTTGCTGGCAGTAGAGGGTGTCATCTGTCACAAGGCCAATAAACTGATGCTGCTGTGGTTTCTGTGTCTGTACCCA